CGATGCCGAGGGGGAGCGGAGGCTGGACGGGCGGGGGGGCCGGGGACGGGTCGCGGCGGCCCCCAGGTCGGGCACCGGAACGCCGATGGACGCCGCCACTCCAAAAGCTGGCGGAGGCAATGTTTTCATTGACAAGGTTGGTGGCTGACCTTCCAAGCCCCCCCTTACTCCGCGCCGCCCGACCCCGCCGGCTCGCTTCCCTCCTCCTTTTTTTTTCCTCCTCCCGGTGGCGTTTGCAAAGTTACTGGAATAGACCAAACAAAAGCGGGTCTCTCGCCTCGGTCCGTTCGCCGAAGATGCAACCGCCGGGTGGGGGGGGGGAGGAAGAAGAGAAGATGGACAAGACGAGGTTAGCTCACTTCGACGAGGAGCAGACCAGATCCGCTGACTTGATCCGGCTCCCCCCCCCTTCTCCCTCCACCCTTCCTTGATTACTTCTTCTGCATCTTCGGCTTGACGGAGAATTGAGCAAAACGGCAACGATGAGACGCCGGATTCAGACTCTGTGTCTTCCTCTCGCCGGCGTGTCCCCCCCACCTCCGCGCAAGCCTTTCTCCAAAGATCAAAGAGTCTCAAAGCGCAACTTTCTCGCCCGCTGCCGCGTTTCGAACAGCTCGTGGAATTTTTTTCGCGATGGTGGTTTTTATTGCGCCGATAATAGCTTTTTTCATTGTGCAGAAAACGAGGTCGATCCGGTCTTCCCTTCTCCTCCCATCACTTTCGTCTGAGCAAGAAAAGCAAATAGTAAAAAAGGGGGGGTAAAGCCCCCATACATACAGATAACACCGGATGGGAAATGTCAGTCACTCCTCCTTCCACCTTCCAAAGAGTAACAGATCAAACAGTGGCACCATCGGAGAGGTCTACTTTTCTGCCTTGCTTGCCTCTCTCTCTTTCTCCTCTCCCTCTCTCTTTTCCAAAGATCGCAGCTTCTTCTGATATTAGTATAATGCAAACACGTTTTTAACATGGAATTTTTTTGGAGTTGATCTTGATCTGCAACAGAAAACAAACAAAAGCCCCCAAACCAAGCAACCCCCAGAGAGAGTGTGTGAAAGGTGGGGGTGGGGGGGAAGCAGAGACACTCACAGAGTGGGAGAGATTAAACATGAACTGTCCCCCCCCCCTTTAAACTCCTGGGAGAGAAAGAGATCCACTCTCCCTCGCTTCTCTTTTCACTGAAATATAGCACACACATTCAGATCCCAGAGCTTTCAGACAGTCTCAACTGATAGACAGACACATCGAGCTGCTTTTCCTGCTTCAGATTTTTTTACTCCTCCTCCTTCTTGCTAACGTCACCCTGACAATTACAAATAGGTCTCACACAAACCCATACCTGTCAATCTTTTTAATTGCTTTCCTTAATTTTTCTTTCTTCTGCTTCTATTTTTTTTCCCCAAGACTAAAAATGAGAACCAAAGTGTTAATAAAAATCTGAAGGGATTCTTCAGGGAAGACATGGGTACAGTGATTTGTTGTCGTAAAACACAACTGGCTAAAAGTATAGCATGCAATGAATATGCTGCGCAGTCCAAACTTCTGGAAAACTTATCACCCAAGGGTTGCTATTTGTCCTGGGCAGGCACCAAGCAAGTCCCTATTCACACTCCCAAATGTAAGAATTTTACAAAGTTTGTTTCTGTTTTAGGGCCCAAACCTTTTGCTAAGGGGTGTGTGGTTTCTTGAATTATGCATATTTTTATTGAATTGGTTTTGCTCGGATGATTGACATTCAGATCAGGAAGAGAACGAGTTTATTCTCTTTTTAAAAGCTTTTAGAAGTTATATACCAGCATTTTAAAGAAAACACTTGGCAGTGTCTTGTAAAATCAGGATTGTTTTTGAATCTCTACTATGAAAACTGCACAATTAAGAAATAAGACCTCTGACCTGAAATGACGATGCTGGAGTTAATTCTAAAGGAGTTACAAATAAGTTATTAGAATACTTTTTCAGATTTGGTTCAATTTGAACCCAGCAACACCATGAAAAAAAAAATAAGACTGGCAGAGCTGGGAAGTAATTTTTGGAAAGTGTTTTGACCCCACATATGCTCTCTTTCTAAAAAGTAATTCTAAACATGGCAGAGGCTGATTTAAAAGCAGTACCCTACAGATGAGAGGGAGCAGATAAAATCTTTAAGCCCAAACTAAATATATAGCAATATTATTTAATGTCACAACCATGGGGTGGGGGGGAGAGAAGTCAATGGACTTCTCAGTCCATCTTGCTACACTGAGTCATAAAATCTATGAGGCTGTAAAGTGTTTTTCATGTGTACCTGCAGACAAGAAGGACACAAGCCGTAATTGGTGTGTGTGGGGGGGTGGTCTGTATATGGCGCTCCCATATACAGACGCATCCAGATCCTTAAAGATGCTTCAAACCCTTTCGTAAATCGCTGTTGTTTTCATCCTGTCCCAAACGCAAGCGCGGTTTCCACTAGCGGTTGCTAGCGGCTCTGGGTTGATTTGTACCACCTTACGAGGAAGTGAACGTTTCGCACGGAAGGGGAGGGGCCTCTTTCAGGCAGCCAGCGGCTCCTGGAGCCTCTAATAACAACACTGCCAGATTAGCTGCAACTTCTCTTCCCCGAGCCGAAACCGTTTATTGATCTAATAATGCATCCGAGGTTTCTTTTTATAGATATCTATTTAAGAAGGATCAGCTCCGTCTGCTGATGAACTGAAAGAAGTGGAGGCGGCGGTAGATTCGGCGCTTTCTCTCTAGGCTTATAACGCCTCCTTAGCATGCAGAGCATCTCCTTCCGTACACACAAAAAATGTTAAATAGAAAGGCTCCCCCCCCCTTTTTTTAAAAAATAGATATTTTCTGAGTGAAAGCAACCCCTCGATGCCGTGATCTTCGGCATAGGCTTTGCATGCCTGTGTGGGTCTCTGTCTTGTTTTGTTGCAAGCGACACAAAACACCCGGGGTGTGTTTTTGCTTCGTTTGAAGTTGTTTTTTCCGCGGCACCCGCAACTTGGCAGGGCTGGCTGGGTTTCGAAAGGGAAACTTGGTCCCTGTTTGGGGGCTGGCGACGGTAACGGAAGATCAGCTGCAAGGTTTTGTTGTTCTTTGGGGTTTCTCTCCCCCCCACCCACCCTGCGGCGCCTGCTGCTGCTGCTGCTGCTGCTGCTGCTGCCGCTGCCGCCGCCGCCGCTGATCTGCTGTTTCCGTGTTGTCGAGGGGCTGGGAAGGGAGGACTCCAGGCAGGCTGCAGCTTGCAACATTAGATTGTATTTACATACACAAATCGCTCTGTGCGGAGCCCGGTCTCCCGCAGTCTGAGCTGGAGGTCTGAGACTATCCTAGGCTGGAAAGCCCCCCCCCGGGGGGGGGGAGTGCCGAGAAAGTCGAGGCAAGGGGGTAAGGCGAGGACGGCGTGCAGGATCAGGCATGAGTTGGAGCGCCCCGAGCAGCGCGTGGCTGAGATCTTGGGGAGCTGCGCGGCGCTGGCAGCGGCGGCCGCTCCAGCTGGCGTCTCCGGCAAGTCCTGCCCGGGCGACCTGGCACGGTGCTCGGACCATCGTGGACATGTCCTACTCCCGTCACTTTCTGGATTTCCAGGGCTCGTCCATTCCCACCTGCATGAAGAAGCTGGTGGTGGCGAAACTGAGCGCCAACTTCCGAGAAGCTGTTACCTTGCGCCATTCTGTGCCTGTGCCGCTCCCGGGAGACGGCGACTTGCTCGTCAGAAACAGGTAAGATTTTTTTTTTACACACACTCCTCTCTGCATCTTTCATCTTCGCCATGGGGGGGGGGAGGTGTGATATCCCCCTTTGTCCTGCCCCTGTGCTCAGCCCTCCTAACCTCCGACACCCTTTGGCCTCCGGTCTCTGGCACACATGCTCATTCCCACTCTGAGATCCGATCAAGTTGTACCAGCTGCCATCTGGCGACTGTTGATTTAATTTTATTGTTGCGAATGATTTACTCCATCATCCGGTTTGCAACTCCTCGGTGCAACTTCCAGAGCGGGAGCCCTCTCAGTCTGGCTCAGCAAAAAAAAACCCAGGAAGAAGAGTCTAATGACTTCAGCTTCTGCTGGGAGGTAGGAAGCGTGTTTTGCCTCCCCCCTCCTCTTGTTGGTATGCTATCCAAGTATACTTGGGGGAGGGGGGTGTAAAAGAGAGCGTTTTCGCAGCTCCACCCGTTTGGATTTGTGGCTAATCTATATGAAAGTTGTGCGTGACACGAAGATTCAGGAAGGGACTTCGAAATCAGGAAATTGTTTCCAAACTCCTCCCAGGTTTCTGTCTGCCTGTGTTTGTAACGTGTACCTACAACCCTACGCGTGTGTTTATAGGGGAGCACCTGTCTGCGCTTTAACCGGGCAGATCCGCGATGACTTATTTTGCTGTAGCAGAAAACTGACTGTTCTGTGTGGATCTCCATGTGTGGCTTAGCGCAGACCCATTGGGTAGAAGTTATTTATAGGTACTTGGCGGTGTGTGAGCGCGCTCTCGCCTGTAACACACTCCAGACATTGTTTAGAGCAAGTTATGTATACAGCTGTGACTGCTATCCCCCCTCCCTCCTTTCCAGTTCTCCACGTCACTATCCTTAAGCAAGCCCTGAATCAACAGGAAAGCAGAGGACCTCGAATGTATTGACTGCCGCCCACCTTTCGCTGTCACTCTTCACTGTCTTAACTCGGCTACTCTCTTCCTCCTTCCCTAACAAAAAGCGCGCGCGGGGGGGGGGGGGGAGATGTCACACTCCCGCCCAACGTTTTTGCCGCTCCAACCTTGACCATGTTTACTCGGAAGTAAATGCCGCAGAGTTCAGTGAGACTTAACTTCCTAGTAAGCATGCTTCCAGGACTGGGTCTCTCCAGAAGTGTCTTGCCATTGTTGGGCGGGTCTGGTGCCTGCAGTGCGGATCGTGGGCTGTTGTCGCGGGTCACTGGTGGAGCAGAGACACGACATTTTGCTTAACATAGTATGTAGTGATTTGTGTCGGAGTTGTGTTGGTACTGGGTGTTCAGATGTCCTTTTCATGAATTCTCGGTTATACTGGAAGTGTGTTAAGACAAAACGTACCCTTCTCCAAAAAGATTTCAGTAGGATTTAATTTATTGCTCCTCTCGGATAGTATCAGTGTGCAGAAAAAAAAGAGGGGCTTTGTGGGGGGGGCTCACGGGTGCGTGCACGTGTGCTTTTAATCCATGGAGAAAACTGGAATTCTTAATTTTACAAGGCTGGTGTTATGAATTCCCTTCAGTATCCCTGTAGGGTGAGTGAACGTGTGTATGGGAGGGGGGAGTGGCTCTTAGACTTTAAAAAAAAGTTAAGATTGTTGCCCAATATAATTTTTCAGTACCTGGAACTGGTTTCTTAGCATTATTCCCGAGTAAACTGTGTTTAAATAAACTTTGCTCCATCGAAACCAGTAGTGCCAACCTGGATTAATTGCAGTTTACAAATACACAGGATTAAGTGGACTCCCCGATTGACGCCCGCTCACTCCTAGGCACAGATCGCTTCTTTGCAAGACAGCGCACATCCAACCAGTATCTGGTCCCTAGAAGTATGTGCATGTTTTATGCAATGTACGACACCCGCATTACAGAGAGATACACTCTCCCTGGTGTCAGAGGTTTGAATTGCTGCTGTCATTAGAACATCGTATTTTGGAGACCGGAATGTCTGAAGCCCTTTTTTAAAAGTCTCTGAAAATCATACCCCATTCAGACGACAGTTCAATTCCTCAGTCAGGTGAGGAGGCGAGGAGGAAGAATAGACTGATGTAAAATGTTATAGGGAAATAGACCCGAACCTCCTTGCTGCTGCTTCGGGTCTCGGAGAAGTTGCTGTGACATCCTTGTTTCCGAATCCCCTCCCCCCAACCCTTTCTCCTCCCCCCCTCTCTCCCTATGAAATTTGAAAATTTATGCATTCAGTTTATTTTGTTTTCAGTGTAACGCCTCTCATCCTGCCCTTGATACTGGGTGGGCTCTCTGGGGACTCGGAGGACGTGCTAGTCCACACTCCGGAATGGAGCTGGCAGCTCGCGCCCGAGCAGCGAGACGAGAGAGCCCTGCCTCCCTGCCTCCCTCCCTTGGCTTTAACACGTCCCAGTTGGTGAGGAGGCTTGTGAGAAATTGCAGTCTTGGGAGTTCACAACTTTTGTGTCATGTGGATTTGCCTGAGATGTTCTTTTTTCTTCTTTTTCTTTTTGGCCGGGACAACTCACAGAGAATGGAAACATCTCATTAGTGCAGAATAGAGCATATTAAGAGCAAACCTTTCTAATGCTCACTCTTACCTCATGAAAGCTTGCTTCAAACTCTGCCCTCTCCTTACCCAGATGCTAGTGGAAAAGGGACTTCCTGCCCTCACAGGACAAGGACTGCTTATTCAGTCATAATAAGAAAGAAAGAAAGAAATTTTGTTTAGCCCCACCACTCCAATGAAGAGAGCAAATAATCGGGGACATTCCCCATTCACCCAAATACGCATGTACATGGCTCTTCTAGGTTTTTAAGTTTGTGTAAAACACAGACAGACAGACAGGATTCTCTTTAGGTGGACCCCACCCCTTCTCCCTCTGTCTGAAAAATAATCCCACTTCTTTATTTCAGGATCTTCTGAAGGGGGGGGGGCAATTCAATTCAGTCTTTAGTCAGGGGAAAAATGCTTTCAAACTGGAAATCGATTTCAGACAATAAACTTTTCACATTTTGTGGGAGGTGTGTTTGTAGGGCAAAATGGAGGAGGGTTTTTTTTACAAAAAAAGGGAGGGCCGGGAATGTGGGGTTTTTAAAAAAAAAAAAAAACCAACCTGACAAAAAGCCATTACTGTCCCCACCCATTCTGAAAATGGGGTTTTCTAAGTATCCAGGCAAATGCATGACAACCCAGGGGAGGTGTCTTTGAGCGATGCATTTTAGAATGTTCTGTATGTAGCCAGAGGTTTCCAGAAACAGTTTTCCATTTAAGTGGAACATCCCAAAGAAAATGGGATATTAGAAATGGGGGATGAGGAGGTTGATCCTTGGGTTGGAAGCACAACACAGTGGAAGTGAGTGGAAGAGCCCTAAGCCGATTGTTTGGGCTGGGAACTGTTTTTGTTTTTCCCCCCTGCTCTTGGATTTGGCGACTTTGTTTTGTCTGCTTGTCCAAGAGGCTTGCCCTGCGTCTTTCACTCTCCTGCATTCTGTACGTTGCTTCGAGTGGGAGACGGAGCCTTCTCTCCTCTTTAGCACGCTCTTTTTTAAATGCTCCAATCTTACACGTAAGTAAAAGCCGGAGAGATTCACTCTGCAGTTAGGTTGAGTTTAAAAAACCCGTCTGAAATCCAGATCTTTTGATCCAACGCCTCGCATTTTGGCCGCCTTTCTGGTTTAAATGCAGACCACAAAAATAGGGGGAGGGGAAGCAAGGGGACGTAATGAAGGTCATGTAGTTACTTTAAAGGAGAACAATGACTGCGGAGAAACGGGCTCTCCTCTTTGACACAAGTTTGCAAGCTGATCTTGAACTTGTGTCTTCACTTTTGAAATCAAAGACCCTACAAGTCGCAGGATAATTTTACACCTCTCTCTCTCTCTCTCTCTCTCTCTCTCTCTCTCTCCCTCTCCCTGAAAAGATCTCATTTTTGAAAAACCCCAATACTTTCTGTTTTGTCTACAATCACGTAAAGAAGGCGCCTTTTAAAAATAAAACCCAGAGTTCACTAGAAAAATTTGAATAAGAAATAAGTGCTTTAGCAGCACTTATGAGTTGCACTGATTAATAGCAATGCGTCCAGTGCAGAATTCGCAGAGGTAGAAGCATTTCCACATTCTGGGAGCGTCGATTTCTCCACACTGCTCTTGCCAGGGAAGTAGATGCCAGTTGTTCCCCCCCACACACACATTTCTTGAGCCGTGTGGCCCTGCTTTCAAAAGCACACTTTTCACACCTTTCCTGAACCGTCCTCAGGTTTTCTGCCTCCCAACTGAGTTCCACGCAGCAGGGCTGGGAAGCCAGCTGCCGGCGGACTGACTTGCCTTGCAGGAGAGTGGCCATGTGTGAGGTGAGGGGACGAGGGCAGCAGGCAAGAGACGGAGGTGCCTGGAAAAGGGAGCTCCCGGTGGCCTATGGCCCCGATCGACTTCTACAGCAGCAACAGCGCTAAGGCATCTCACTCCTTCGGGTGCCAGTTCTGGCCTGTTTGCACATCCCTTCCAAAGGATTCCGCGGGGGGGGGTGTCGAGCACTTCTAAGCCGATCCACGACGTCTTCCCTTGCTTTGACCCTTGCAACTCCTCCCCCCCCTGCAGTTAACAAACGGAGAGGCTAAACTCTCGCAGAACATTGCGGGGGGGTGGGTGAGAAAAGAGGCTTCCCCCACCACTACCACCACCTTTTTTGCTACCAAGCTGCGGGCAAGGTCTCCAGCCCCCTAGCTAACTGTGGTAAAGTCATGTTTTGTCCTCCACCCCAACTTTTCAGGTTTACCTTCTTAAGTCTTCCTGCCCATATGAATGATTTTTTTTAAAAAAGAAGGGCGTTTAAACCAGAGAGGGCTGTGGCCGAAGGGTTAGGTGAACACACAGCAGAACATAGCCCAATCCTAATTCCTAACCTATATTCTGAGGCAGTATTCCAGGTGACATCTTGCTAAATGCCCAGCTTCATTCCGATGAGATCAGCTCCTCCACATCGCTTGCAAATCGGGTCTGGAGTCTGCATAACAATTGCGTGACCAGGGGCAGGGGGTGTCTTGAAAAAGAGAGGAGACGGGAGAGCCACAATTAGGCGGAAGAATTCCCTCAGTTCCCTGGCAAGAGCGACTTTGGGTAGAGGGGAGGAGAGCTCCACAGGCAAGGCAAGCCAGCTGTGTGGGGATAAAGTGGCAAGCAGTGGTAATGAATGGATGAGGCTGCTTCCCTGCCCGCCTGTCTCGCTGGTTAGCAGCCTCTCTGCAAGAAGTTACGGTGCCATGCAAGGGAAAGCGAGAGTTTGTGCACTGGAGTAAAGGAGCCCTGTCGAACTGCAGGCCTTGGCTCTCTCTTTTCTCTCGCATGTCCTCAAGGAAACATCCCATGGCTTTGCCCTGAAGCTGCTGGCCTCCCCACCCCCCAAGACAGGAGTCACATAAATTAAAACAGGGAGGAAGGGTTTTATAAAAAGCTGTACATGGAATCGAGATACTCTTTGTTACAGAAACCAACTGGATTATGTGAAAAATTAGGGGGGAGCAACCATTTTCACATTCCTTTCACTACCTGTGCATCTTTCTGAAGGTGTGCTGTGCCATATGTACCTATAAACAGGGGTTACTTCTGGAAGAGGTTTCCCTTAGAATTAAAAATGACCAATGCCCTTCTGTTCATTTTGTTATTTCCATGGGAGACAGACGATTTCAAATTGCCATAAATCCACAAAAACCCATAAAGCTCTTTAGTTAAGGCATTCAGATCTGTTTTTCACATGTTTTCACACTTTTCCACCTAATTAAACACCATGATTTTTGTTTATTTTTGGATATGGAAGAGAAACAGCCATACTGGCATTTTTGAGAGAGCAATCCTATAGTAGATTTCCCCCCATTTTTTTGCTGAAAAACTGGCCATAAACAACATCTCCATGCAGATAACTTGCATTTCAGTGTCATAAGCTACAGTCTCATTTTTGATACTCAGGGTGATTTTTACCTGTTAGAATACAGTTGCATAATTTTAGTCCTTCCCTTCAAGGTTGTTTTAAGGTGTTGCAAGTAATTTGTATGCAGCAAAATATTTTAATAATGTGCAAATGAGTTGCATCAAAAGGCAAATGTGTTACAGTCACTCCATCCATTTTCTTTAAATTTGCCCGCAGTAACACTTATGACCATCGACCTTGGAGAGGACATTGATATTTCATGTTATCATTAGTCACTAAAAGAGTTATTATAATCTGAAAAGTTAATTTCTTGCCAGAGTCAACATGTTTATTACTTTGTTCATATTTTATTATAATACATTATTTGTATAAGAACAAGCCAATTTTTATTCCCTAGATTATGCAAATCTAATTCTTTTGTTCTTATTTTGGTTAAACAGACAAGAGTATGTCTCATATTTTAATTTTGAGAAATGTGTCAAATGCTGTGCTGGTAAAATTGTGATCTGATTAAAGTAATTTCTGTTTTTTGCATGGAAGGTTTTTTTTTCTCCATCTTGATAATATTTGAATATGTATCACTGAAATATCTTCTCTTGTGTATTTAACTGAAAGTTTTTTCTTATGACAAATGAAAGGCTTGTCAAAGAAGGCTTCTTAATACTTTTTTGTTTTCGTCTAGATTTGTTGGCATTAATGCGTCTGACATCAACTACTCAGCTGGCCGATATGACACAACAGTTAAGCCCCCGTTTGATATAGGTTTTGAAGGAATTGGAGAAGTAGTGGCTTTGGGACTGAGTGCAAGTGCTAGATACACAGTGGGTCAAGCAGTGGCCTACGTCAAGCCTGGGGCCTTTGCTGAATACACTATTGTGCCTTCTAAAGAAGCTATTCCAGTGCCTTCTGTGAAACCTGAGTTTCTAACACTACTGGTAAGTGGAACGACTGCATATATCAGTCTGAAGGAGCTTGGAGAATTGTGTGAAGGGAAGACTGTTCTGGTGACAGCAGCAGCTGGAGGGACTGGTCAGTTTGCTGTGCAACTTTCAAAGAAGGCCAAATGCCATGTAATAGGAACATGCTCCAGTGATGAGAAATCTGGTTTTCTGAAATCCATTGGCTGTGACCACCCCATCAACTATAAAACCGAAAATGTCACTGAGGTCCTGAAGAAGGACTACCCACAAGGTGTGGATGTAGTATATGAATCTGTTGGTGGAAAGATGTTTGATATGGCTGTCAACTCCTTGGCTATCAAAGGGCGTCTGATAGTGATTGGGTTTATCTCTGGCTACCAAACACGGACTGGCCTTCAGCCAGGATATGTTGAGATGTTGCCAGCAAAACTGCTAAAAAAATCAGCCAGCATCCGGGGTTTCTTCTTAAACCATTACTTTTCTGAATACCAAATGGCTATGAAACACTTGCTCGAAATGTGTGAAAACAGAGAACTGGTTTGTGAGGTGGACCTTGGAGAGATGGCTCCAGAAGGCAAGTTCACTGGTTTAGAGTCTGTATTCCGTGCTATAGATTATATGTACATGGGGAAAAACATTGGAAAAATTGTAGTTGAATTACCTCATTCTGTCAACAGTAAGCTGTAAAAACAGAACAATGATATAAATCAAAAGAGAGAGAATGGTCACTTTATGCCTCACAATAACTAAAACAGTTTAATTTTTTTTTAAAGTTAGAAATAGGCAACATATTAAAAAGAGCATTTAGGTGTTAGTAAAGTTTTGATTTGTTTCAGTTAGAGGTTTTGTATTATTTAAAAATGTAACTTGTCATTGGCATTGCATTTAACAGCTTTACATTTTGCGTCTGGAAATTCAGCCTTGTGCTGAATCTGAGCATTATTCTGGCCAACTATAACGAGCATTATTCTGGCCAACTATAAAACTGATCTTGTAACTTTCTTCTGATTTGAATATGAATCCTATGAATATGATCCAACCGGGGGTTCCAAATCAGTGGCTCTATTTTCTGTGCTAGGAAAGGCAAATTTCTAGTTCAGCTAGGAAAATATGTCTTGCTAGATAAATGTACTGGTTGAAAAATCAAAGCAGAAAAAAACCCACTCAAGTTTGCTGCTGTTAATCAAGCCTGCCAAGTTCACGTCTTTATTTCTGTTTTGACATATACTTCCTGTAATGTCACTTTTCCAGTATTCCTTTTTTGTTATATTACCCCATTAAATGGATCACCTTTGCTATAATATTACATTCTTCTTATCCTGTTTATTCTTGTTATTTTAAGGTAATCCAGGAACAAAAGAATTAATAAAGCCCCCAAAAGGTCTCCTTCTGTTTGTATTTATTTTGTCTTATTATCCAGTATTATCATGTCTTCATTTATTAAGCTGGAGCGTTTTATATTCTGTAAATATTTCCACTGGAGAATAGACTAACATGTTATAGTTTTGTTTGAAAATACAAAAGTTTTTACATTTCAGGAAATAAAACATTTTCTAGATACAGAAACGTAGGTGGAAAATGGGTCTCAAAAATATATTACAGAATCGATTACAGAATCCTTAGAGAGCAATCCAAAACAAGTCTACTGAGAATCCTACTCAAGGCTACTAGCTGGGGCTTACTTCTGGGAAGGTGTTCTTAGGACTGCAGCTTTAGTGCAGCAGCTAAAACAGTAGCATTCAACTGCACCTGTGCAATCTCCATTCCTGTTATGCAGCGTCACCATTTTAGATACAATCCCGTTGCATCGGGCAAAGTATGTGAGAATTTTGTTTCTGAAAGAATTGGCTAATCCTGTGTTATAATGTCAGATATCCTTGGACCACATCACATTCCATATTCAGTGGGAAGAGAGAGGAAGGGAGTGATTGCATTAGCTAGGTTAAAATAGTACTGTGCAAGCAGGAAAGGGTTATGCAATAAAATGCTGTCTCTGTAAGAGCATATAATTTACACATATATTCCTAATTTTGTTAAGATAGTTAATATTTTACACTGGTTCAGTTTCCAGTTTCTTCTTTTCTGTTGTGTTCCTATTGGGATTTAATAACCTTCATCTGTCATGCTATTTTTAAAAAATTCTTATAGCAAATAATTGCCTTCTCCTTCAACTACCTTTCTTAGTCGGTTTCATATT